AATGGCGCATTTTTGTTTTCAGATCCAACTGGGAGTGATTAATAAGTCTAGACTTACGTCAATACCATGTATAATTCCACAAGTCTTTAGTTTACTTGATTACTCCAAAGATTCATTTAGGGAGTATAAAATAACTATCTACTTTAATAATTGAGCCTTAAAGTATATGTATCAACTCTCTTAATAACATACCACAATTTTATACAGAGATCTGAAAGCCGCTTTAAAGTTCCAAAACAAACCCACTTCGCAAATGCCATATTTAACAAATCAAAAGTGTTATACCATAGTACCATTCGTCTTTTAAAATAAATAATCTTATTTCACTCAGACTACAACAATGTTTTCACAAAATGAATAAAAAATTAAGCCCCGGGAGATGAATGTAATCTTATTCAGTAACAAGATCGTTTTTAAATAAATGAAATGAATAAAGCAACGACTGATGATTTTTGTTAAATAACGAAATTTGTCAATTAATCGATTAAATAAATTATTGTTACACCGATATTTAAATTACACACACACCTCCGTGAGCATTTTTAAAGGAACGTGTTATTTTTTTTTTTACAAGATACAGAAACAGACATCAGATTGGTTAAATACATACACTAAACATTATTTGTAAACCTGAAGTCCAATTAGATCTGTACACAGCATTTTAGTGGAATCTTCAGTGCTGGTCGGGATATATTTTAAGTAATACAATAGGAGAACAAACATATAATGTTCTATGATTTATTCATATCTATTTTGATATGCAATCGACTGCAAACTGGAAAATAGTTATTAAACATATTTACATTTAAACTACATATGTCAACAATCATATGTTTAGTGTGTAATATTCAGTAATGTTTTATGCAGTTTGGTTTAACGAATAAATATCAAATAAATAACGAATTACGTAATTTGTATAGACGAATGCTCATTAATTAAGTGTCATTTTCGCGGGGATTATTATACAAATTACTTAATTGTTATATAGAAAATAGTCGTAAAGTGATGCCCTCTTCGCTTTCTGTGGACTTCAATACCATAAGGGGTTTAACTCTAATCTCAATGCTGTTCATCACAATCGTGAAACAGCTAAGCCAGCCTTGGTTTTTATGAACGAGACCCCAAATTTCCCCTACGGGCAACACCTGCTTCCCCGCTTGACCTAGTTAAAAAAAATCAATGGCGCTACAACCTTTGATCATTTGGCAAACAAATAGGCAAGTAGGTGATCAGTCTTCTGTGCCTGACGCACGTCGTTGACTTTTTGGGCCTAAGGCAAGCCGGTTTCCTCACAATGTTTTCCTTCACCGTTCGAGCGAATGTTAGATGCGCACATAGAAAGAAAGTCCATTGGTGCACAGCCGGGGATTTAACCTACGACCGTAGGGATGAGAGTCGCACGCTGAGGCCAACACTGCTCTTGACCTAGTTACAAGTTAAAATATTCCTTTGTACCTCGGGCTGTAGTGTGTCTATACGTCCGGGAGGATATTTGCTCTTTTTGCATCGCGATGCAACAAAGGCCTATCCCTATCAACTACATATTTGGCTTCGCGTAGACTGCGACGACCATCCGCGATACTACGCTTGTTTGTATAGGTCCCATAGCGGTAATACCTTAATTAACCGGCTAAAGGATTTTATTTAATCCGCTGCAGACTCCTAAATGTTCCCATAGCTGAAATACTTTGCCCTGGCCTGACACAAAGGTCCTCTCGATCACGAGAACCACAGATGTTACGGTCATAAACCGAATAAATGCGTTTTTACATGCTGGCGTACTATAGACAGCTATTTTCAGGCACTTTTTGCCGCGCACCACTACTTTGTAGAACCAGCTGACAGCATTTCAGAATAGAGCGTACCATTCCCTGAAAGGTCGGCAACACACCCACTAGCCCCCGGCGCTGCAGGTGTCCATGCGGCGGTTAACACTTTATTTAAAGTTACCCTTCCGTCGTTTGCCTTCTGTGTCGTAAAAAAAATCCTATGCGACCTGAACTGAGTCCAAAAATAGTGTTATTTGTGTGTGTCCAAAAATAGCGAAAACCTGCAATGTTATCGCTGATCTGTAAAAGAATTCTCTCGGAAAGTGTTTTAAGGTCATAAAGCTGTGTGATAATAAACAGTTTATGATGAGTATAACTGCTATCTGAATAACAAGAGGTTTATATGTTTTAGATTTATTACTGATAATTTTATCGCTAGAGGGTGCAAAAATACAATACCGTCAAGAAGTGGTGACCGTTTGGTATTTCCCTTTACTATGTTGTGTCCTCTTGTTATCGTTTATTATTAATAGTAATAAAATATTTAGCGAACAGTTGGCCCGTATTTTTGACTTTTAAATAAATAGATCAAGTCGTTGGACTTTATGGCTATCCCAAACAGTTGACAAAATTCGTTTACTTTTAAAGAGAGCTACATCTTGGGTCAATTCCGATATAAATACCAAAAAAGTTAACAGCATTTATTAAAAATTTACCAAGACATCAGACTGTATACAGATACGGCATGTGACAGAGTCGATAAGAGATTCTTTAATGATAAGGCAAACATCACTAATTACTGTCAACGGTGAGTCAATTATAACTTATTTTTAAAAATAAAATATCAGAACAGACTATGTTGCAAACAATTTTTTGTTTTCTGACCATTGCGTGTATAATGCTTACGTATTGAGCAAACAGAACAAAACTATCTTAAACTGTCGTGTGTTAAACCTGTACTTTTTGTGAAATTCAAAATCTCTTCACGTTTCATATGCACTAAGCAGTACTTATTATGTTAGTAGTTGGTAAGTGTTGTACTGTATGGTTTAGTCGTTGAACTTGACTGTCTCGGACGACTGTTGATAACTTTTTTTAATTTAAAACATCCACTTACATCGGAATTGAATTCTGAACTATGTAAATAGAACCATACGAAAAAGATATTATTTACTTCAAATTAATCATGTTTCAATTACTTCCTATATAATTTGCAAGTACGCTTGATAAAGAACGCGTGTAACTCGATTTTCTGTATTTACAGTTAACTTTTACGTCTTTATTTTATAATCGGCTTAACGACTTGACGAAAACGTCTTGTTGAAATCAAAGGAAAAGGAGGATTATCTTATTAAGAAAATACATTTGTGTGTTTCTTTTACTGGGATTTTATTAAATCGTAGATTAGAATGTCTTGCAAAGCTTTCAAGTACGTTTAGTTTAGTTTACGTTAAAGTTTTCGGTACAAAGTAATTAGAATCATTTTCTTTTTACACGCTTTATATTAGCTTCACCTGTATGTATGTATGTAAATGTAACCGACTCCTTCGGACTCGATTTTGACCCACATTAAACGGACATATTTAATTCAAACTTTGTACACTTATAAAGAATCAGTGACAATATAATAATTTCATAGGTTTATCTCGAAAAAACAATGAAATTTTTTTTAAGTCCACAAAGCAATACGATTTAATTGAGACAACCCGTATTGCTGCTAGGACTAAAAAGTGGAAAATAAATATAGTTTATAAAAACTGCAACCCACGCTTTTTCACAATAATACCAGTATTTTTTGTTCATTACCATTTTCAGCCTAAATTAGGAATTATTTTTCACTTTTTAGTTTGATGTGCTTTAAAAGCGTATTTTTTAGTTTTTTTAAACTATATTTATTCCATTGCGCTACCGGATGCTTCTTAAGTCTTTATATTGAGACCAGAAACAGCCCTTACTCTGTAACTTCCAATAACGATCCTCAAAGTAACGACATCAGCACTGTGATATTCTGAAAAATAAAGCGTCGAGATCTTGTCTTAAAACTGTCTCTGTTGAAAGATTCGGTGTACGGGTGCCACGCGCACCATACGACAGTTTTTTCAAGTTTTCTTAAACGCCATTACGCTCCTCAATTTTTTTTATAGAACAGGAGGCAAACGGTCAGGAGGCTCACCTGATGCCGCCCATGGACACTCTCAATGCCAGAGGGCTCGCGAGTGCGTTGCCGGCCTTTCAACTACTCTACTAATACTACTCCACTATGGCTACTCTAATAATAAATAGTAATATATAATAAATGATTTAGTTGCTAAAACTCGTCAATTTCCCATTAAAGTTTATATAGTGTACTACACGAACAATGCACCTTCGTGCCTCATTTTCATGTTTTCTACGTAAAATATCGGCACTACGATACCTCGATTTTACGTATTCTCAGTGCTAAGTAAGTTTGCCGTGTCCGTGGTATAAGCGTAATCATTATAGTAAAAATTATAACAATAAACCCAGGTGAATACCCGAACAAATTAAAGGGATAAACAATGCAATGTCAATAATCAATATCAATGCAAATAAACTCTTCAAACTCCAAAGTGTTAGTTTTGATGTTAATCAATAAAAGAGATATAGACAAATGATAGTCGCGTACATAAACCTTTTCATACGCGTTCATCAATAAAATAATGTAATTTCCACACTATCATATCTCATATCTGAGGAGGGCAGTAAATACAAAAGCCGCGACCAATGTTGGCTTCAGCATGCCACTCTCACCCTTGATATCGCGCGTTTGAATCGCGGCTGTACACTACGAAATTTTTCACGTACGGTGAAGGGAAATGTAGTGAGGAACTTAGACTCAAAAGTCGACAACAAAATAAAGACAGAAAAAGAGGTACAGAAATCTGAGGCCTAGACCAAGGGTAGTAAAATAGTCTTAAAAATATTCATATTTAATTTTTACCGAGTCATTTCTAATCGAGGACCGAGTTCTTTTTAATCGCGATTTCATTTTTGTATACATTTCTTTTATATTAAATAATTTAGCTGGACTGGACACAAAGTTCTGGTAACCGAGATTCGTACCAATTTTACAACGCCAGAAGGAGAAATACGTCATAAAATTATATTATTATTATACATGATATTTTCCCGTTACAGGATCTACCGTGGCGATGCAGAGTGAGACATAAATTCAAATACTATTCTCAAGATCCATTCAAGTTGGAGAAAATGGATAAAATGGCAACTGGACATGAAAATGGGAAAACTGATGCACCCATTCCGCCAGTTCGAAGTGTTCTTGACCCGTACAGCTCAAAGTAAGTGTTCCTCGTTTATTGTCTTATAAAATATACTTCTTATACGTTTATTTGCTAAGAATTGAAGGTAAGATAATAATAATCTTAGATCTTGGTCTCTGATTGTATCCATTTCTGTGATCTTTTTTTTTATAGACAGGTAAGTTCTAATTAATTTGCGATATTTGTTTTAAAATAAGTGTTGTTTGATGATTTGCTATTTTAAAAGAGTACCGAGAGTTTTTTACGCTGGCTTTTTCTCTCGGCCTTTTTTTTTATAGAACGGGGGGCAAACGGGCAGGAGGCTCACCTGATGTTAAGTGATACCGCCGCCCATGGACACTCTCAATGCCAGAGGGCTCGCGAGTGCGTTGCCGGCCTACACCCTCTGTCTTCTTTGCCGATGAGCAGGGATGCCTGCAGATTCAAATTTAATGACGTGGTCGTATAAACATATTTTATTTTAGTTTTATTTTTAAGTGAGCCTACTCTCTGTCTGACACATGTTATCGATTTTAGAGATTGAGTAAAGCCGGTTTCCTCACGATGTTTGCTTTTACCCTTGAAGAAAATGTTAATTTCGTACATACAAAAATCCATTGATGCTCGCCGTGATTCGAACGGCCGAACTCAGGGCTTAAAGTCGCATGCCCACTACACCAAGAGTCCATTTACTATAGTAAAGATGTATGTTAAATTAAACCGCCTTTTTTTAATATTTGTACCATCTTTGTTGAGTGTCAATAGGTAAAATCAAAATTCAAGTTAATTAAGTAATAATACTAATGTTAAATTACAAAAGACACATATTAAACACTTGTGCCAGGCCGGTAATTTGTTGTATGTTCTGACACCCGTAATCAGAGACGTCTCCAATTCTAATAAAATGAATAAACTTTTACGAAGATGCAGAGTTCCATCTGATATTTTCGCGGGGCTTATACAATAAGTAAGTGTAGCAAACCAAAGTTAAATGAGTACTTAATAGTACATAAGTAACGTACTTTTTTTAAGAGACATTAAAAGTCTAAATATTTTTAAAGCTTTAACTCGCCATTCGCTGTTAACGTCATTAGTTTCATTTCACATTGTGCTTTTCCAAGAATACAAATTACTGTAAAAATCGAATCCTATATATTTTTTTCAATAACTACCCTAAACTCTTATCGGATACTGGCCTGATTCTGGTTTCATAGAAGTGATTGCAATCCTTCTAGTTCCCTCTCCAAAACTTTGTATTGTTTAGATCGGGACAATATCGTTCTGGACTTCGATAAGTTAAAAAGTAGAATTCATGTATGTGAAAATTGTGCCCTAAATGTTAAAGGCTTTAGCGAACGACCCTCATCCCTGAGGTCGTAAGTTTATGTGTGTATTTAACAATCGTTCGTATGGTGGAGGAAAACACCGTGAGGCAACCGGTGTGTCCAAAAAATCGTCCGCCGGTGTCGAGCACAGAAGATCACCTACTTGCCTATTAGAAATAAATGATATGAAAAGAATGACGAAATTTCCGGCACAGACCTAAAAGGTTGTAGCGCCACTTCATTATTTTATTTCTTAAAATGCACTTTTCACTGAAATTTTTACAATGATCACATAAATTATAACAACTAGATATATACTTTACGATGTTATTATCTTTAATTTCATTATATTTAATATATTTTTATGTACTTACATCAGATGCATTGGTAAAGAGTAACACCGCTTATTAGTAACAACTTTAAAAAAACAGACAATAATCCCTTTTTTCAGTATTATCAAAAAGAGAAAAACAGGATTTATTTCTACAATAAATACTTAGTATAGTCTAGAGATGGATGTTTATTTTTTTATAATTTTTAAGAAGTAGTGTTACGAAGGATTTTACACACTCGGGTTTTGGCTCTGGTTTCTGTTTTTAATTACTTAAGCTAATTGCAGTAGAAGCGTGTTGCAGAAACTAATTAGAATAATAAAAATGCAAAATCACACGTTTAAAATGATGCAATGAAAAACATTTGTTTCATCACCCTACGCGCTAAATTGGGATCAATTTCATTCAATATCGATGATATATTGTCACGTTTAGCTTAACGTTTGGAATATTCGACATGACAACTGAAGGGACTACTCGTAGGGAACACGTGGATTTAAAAAGGTCAATAAATGACAGAAAAAATCAATATAAAAACTTTAAATTTCACCTGGCACTCATTTCTAACAACGAAACCAATAAAAAAGTAAATAAAAAGTAATAAAAAATATAAAAAAGTAATAAAATGATAACACAATTGTTCGTAAAAAACGTTCATATAAATAAAAGTGTCATAAAAACGCAATAAATAAAATAAATCAACAATTTATTCACGCTTTGTTAATTTTAATGCATACACGTGTTTCTAAATGAAGTTGAAGTGCAATTTTTTTAAATCACGGAATTCCTATCTACCGTAATTTTTATTGATATAAGTAAATAAAACATTTTAAAACGTCAATTACAGCGTATTGTAAAAAATATAAAATAATAATTGTTTTATAAAGTTGTTCATTTATGTTTTATTCTATTCTAGGATAGAGTTAACTTGCAATGGCTCTAGAGAAGACTTGGACCCCTACGTACCTGCACAAAACAGACCATTGGAATCAAATACATCGTGAGTATAAAAAATCATTAATCATTATTATTTAATTAAATATATCACTTCAATAATGGATTAAGGTCTTTGAGGTGACAACATCATGCAATGGTTGTTACTAACGAAAACTTCAAATTCCATCTGTTTTCATATGTCATAGACAATACAACTATAAAGCGATTTAAATAAAAAGAACGTCAACGACTTTTGTCAACTGTCAGTTGAACCCGTAATATGCACCATGTATATTCCGGGTTATATTTTTGTGTTATTTAAAGGAAATTTTTAAAATTCCTAAATTGACGTAACGATATGGCGCAAAGTCGATTTAACGTTTGTTATAGATAAGATATTGTCATTTTTCTAAACCCATTTTTTTAACCGAATAAAAAACTCGAGTTCATTTGACAGTACCTGCAGCAAGCAGGCTTTTATAGGAGAAAAATATCGTAGTCTATCGTATATTGACAGATACCTACAGCTCGTCGTCAGACATTAACATCGATTAACTATTAAGCTTTTGGAAATAAGCCCATAAAGTGGGATAAAGTTTTACTCAAATTTAAATGTTTTTAATTTTATAAAGCAATTATCCATTGGGAGTAATGTCAATGTGTTAAGTGGAGTTAATTATTATACGCTTCTATACGTTACTAAAACAGTTACACTCACTTACGGTATTATTCTATAACTGTTAACTAAAAGATAAATTACTATATTTCACTATAGAAAGTTTGCAGTTAAAGTTAATATACATTAATATACGATTATAACTATCGAAAATAGAAGCTTAAGTCCTAAAAATACAATTTACAGCATTAATTATGAAAACTTAATCTATATCTTATCACCTAGGGCAAAACTTGCTGAGTTTCTTGCCCGTTCTTCTCAGAACAAGGCCTCCTGGTAGTTTTGCGAACGGATGGCGTAGTCTTGCTCTTTCGTGAATTTTGTAAACGTTGTTGACATTCATAAGCATGCTCTAAGAAGCATCTAAATTGAATAAACGTATTTTGATTTGATTTGATTTGACCTGTGTTAAATGTAGTGTTTTTTTCATACGTCTTAAGTAAAATTACGTATTACAGAGGCCTTCGGATAAGACTAAATATTATTTCCGTGAGTCAAATATGTATTTGATTTTACATACATCCATAGTAAGAGGGTATGGCTGAGATTTAAAGACGTTCTTTGTACGGTCAAAGTACGAGCTATGCTGAGATGCGGCCAAGACAAGTTTACAATCGTATTCAGAAATATTGTTCTTGTGCTGAAGCACGTTCTTAGAAGTCTGGTTTCTATTGTTTTTGATAGAGCAAAATTTTCTACTGTAAAGCCTTATAAAATTTAATAATGTATTCATTGCTACAATATATTTAAAAATATAAAAAAACATCTGAGAGTGATCAATTTGAGTGTAGAGGGGAAAACAATTTCAAGTGCTAAAGAGAAGTTTTGTTCAGGAAAATATTAATGAATTACTTTATTTAATATATTATTTTAAAGTTTTAATTGTGTAATGTCATAAACAGTACATAAACATTTCCTCCTGCCCGTTGCCCTCTAATGTATAAAAAGTAATTAATTTTTATTTTTTATTACATAATTGTCTGTTTGGTGGCACATTTTCTCATACCGTAATAAAACAATGGCCTAACGTAATGATGTACTCGGAAATAATAAAATATTAAGTAACTAGTCACTCATTAACGCATACACACATACACCACTATGTTCAAGGCATGATTTTCTGATTATACGTTTAGATTTTTTTGCTATAACTACCTAAATAATTGAAATGAAAACGTGACGTCAATTAGTGAATTTATTCATAATTATAAAAGTAATTGTTCTTTCTGAACATTTAAGTAGTGATCGCGCTGGTAAATTGTCTAATAATTAATTTGAAAAATGGCTACGAAAGATTCTCAAAAAAAAAGTATTCATAAAAGGATTGTATTGGTATTAAATGTCCCAAAATCGAGCATGTGCACATGTAGTTTAGTTACAACACTCTAGTAGAAAATTTAGGTGTTCACAGTTAAAGGATCCAATTATCTTTGTCGAATCCAATATGGGATCCGGACTTCCTCCAATAGCTGTGGTACTTAATGCATGCTACAATTATTGCACGCCTGGCGAAAATTATGGGCAAAAAGTGTGGATTGGTAATTTTGAATAGATATTTTTACAGAAAGGATCTAAGGCACGAAAGGATTAATAAATTTTTTTTTCGAATACCAATTCTTGCCATTTAACATTTTAGTTAAATCAAGTAGAAAAAACGCTGTAAAGCAGCTAATTACAATTTTCAGAGCTTTCTGCTTAATGTAAACGTTATATTATAATCTAATTATATTGTTCTTCGGTGTTCCAAAATTCTCAATCAAAACAAGTTCAATACTTAATCAGCAATCAGCTTAAGTGAGCGGAAATGATTGATTTCACTCAATTTCCGAAGTTACCAGGAAGTTGATTCGACACAAGCCCCGTTTTCTGATAATCTCGATTGTAAACTTATCGAACTCACCCTACGTTTCGTCTACGCGGAAAGGAATTTGAGTCGAAATGTGTACGATTTGTACCGAATAGTTAATTAATTTGACTACGTTTCAAATTTTTTTTCAAAACCACAAGTGCCTTTACCATACGACACGACATAACGTACATTAGTATGCGACGTCTTTAATTTCCGCCTACAAATACGATGACGTCCCACTGTGAAACGCGCTAACAAAGTTATTCTAAGAATATGTACAACCGGACAACTGTACTGGACTTTATCCGCTGGGCCCAATCAGTGGTTAGATCCTTCCTTCAGTCCACAAAGTACTTTAGCATTCAGATGTTATTGTTCCGCCGTAAATAAGATATTACATTAGCAAACCGTTTACCTATAATACTTGCTGCAGACTTTATTATCGATACATAGAATATCAGCATGTGGAAAATATTAATTAAACTTTTGTTGCAGGAGCTTCGGAGCGCTGGCTCATCTTTTAAAGGCTTCTCTTGGTTCCGGAGTACTTGCTATGCCCTTGGCTTTTAAAAATGCTGGGCTTCTTGTTGGATGCTTTGGAACTGTTATTATTGGCTTTATTTGTGCTCACGTCATACATGTTTTGGTAAGTATAATTGTTTCATGAGTAAACTAGGAAATATTGATTGAAACTTAATTTGAAATGTAGCGATTACGTGCGCAGGTAATACAATGAGTCTGTGTGTTTATAATATGTATAGTAGTGTTGACCCAGTGGCTTAAGCCTGCGAACCTCACCTAAGGTCGTGCGTTCGAATCACGATAAATAAAGCAAGCGAAAATGCAAGTCTAGAATACCTCGTCGTTGTTCGAGTTCCTAATTTCAATGGTAGAGGCATAGCTATACAAAAACACCAATCAATACACACATATTTAAACATCGATTTAAAACATTTGTTGACGTTTAAAAACAGACGATAAATGAATAAAATATGTAAATTTAGGCAGTGATTGTGAAATATTAGTTAAAGTTTCAATATAAAAATCACTAAATTTGTAAATTTTAAGTCCGAGCTTTTGTCTTGCCATTAAATAGTATCTGTTTTCTCAAAATACCTAAACATAGCGCATAAAACAAGCTTAACAAGAATTAAACATGAAAGTACGAAAACAAATAATTAATTACAAAGTTTGAAAAGCTTTCATTAATTAAAACGGTTTACAGGTTAAAACTTCACAGCAACTTTGCATCGAGGTGAAAAAGCCATGTTTGGGATATGCCGATACTTGTGATTTAGTATTTCAGAATGGGCCTAAATCCGTTAGGCGTTTTGCACCACATGTCAGGTATAAACTAATTATTTACGTAATTATGAGTAAAAAGCTTTGTAGGGCAATTTGTTTTGAATCCCATCCAAAGAACGTATGTGCCCTACAAAGGTCGGCAACACACCTTATTAGATTCTTCTTTTGTCTTCCTTCCTTCCTTAAGATTCTGAGGCATTTAAATAATATCTATTTCGCCGAGAACTCTGTTGTAGGGTTTATAACTTGTCCCTAGAGTAGACTACTCTTAGTCTGTTCGCGCTTATTCTCATCAACCATAAGCCCTTTGTAAACACTATAGTATAGGGAATAGTAGAAATTTTTGCCATAACATCGTGTGTTGAATATTGTAATTTTTCTAACCATTAACTTTAAGAATTAAATTACACATTTTCTGTTTTTCAGAGAATTAGCAGATTGGGCGTTGGCTGTTACGCACCTCGGTGCTTGTTGTGTGTACGTTGTTGTTATTTCGGAATCATTTAAGCAGGTTAGTATTATGAATTGATCGTTACATTTATTAATAACTAGCTGCCCCCTCGAACTTCGTGTCGCCTTAATATGATTTTTTATCCTAAGACTGCCTTTTTAGTAGCTACATACCAATATATGGAACTTTTGCTATGCTATCTGTAGTTTCTAGACAGTTATATTCCGGAATAAAAACTAAATTTTTCAAGTATATTTTATATTCTCAAATTTTTCTCTCCATAAAAAGTTCAGTGTTCGCGGAATAAATAAAAATAAAAAATGTTGTCAACGACAGGTCAACTTGTGTAGGTAGGTACGTCAGTTATACGATATTACATAATATAAGAAAATATTTTTAATTTATATTAGTCCATTGAAATGTTACAATTGCAGGGCCAAACTAAACATTTGTTAGAGGACGCAATTTTATTTATGGAACATGTAGGGCGGGTCAATACAAGCTTAAACCCAAGTTTGTGACCCCACAATTATTGGCACCCTTATCCCCCGGTCGCCATCTTGGAAAAAGGAGTGAAAACATTACGTTTTTGGCTATATCTCCTAAACTATCCATTGTTCAAAAAATAGTTAATGTATTAACTACAAATATTTGCTATATACACTTGCGAATATTCAATTATATAATTATCTGAACGTGAATAACAATTTCATCTCACTTATTTATGAATTTTAAAAGTTCAATTAACTGTGCGACTTTTACGAATATTAATACGTTTCACAATCTATTGTTATTGAAAGTGTATTTTATTTTATTTAAAATTCAGGTTAATAATGAACTTTAATAAAGTCTAAATATAAATGATGTTCTAAGAATTGAATAAATGTATTTTTGATTTTATTTTAATACTTCTGTTCCCAAGGCACAATTTACAAAACTTATCATCTAATGGATTTTGTACTACCCTTTAATGTATCCCTGGCTGAATTAATTAAAACCTTTGATCTAAAAGAAGAAACAATTATTTTGTATCGAAAGAGAAGATCTCGAACACTACTTTCAGCAGAAATAAAAATGAATAATTTTGAGTTGTTACACAATAAAGATTCTTACATATGGTAATAATAATATTAAATACTATGAGCACTAAAACCCTGTTTTATTCTAAGGAAATTCGATGTGCCTTTTGTCATTAAAACATATTTTTAGGTTTATGACATGCCGGTTTCCTTACGTAGCTTTTTTTCACCACATGCACAAGTATAGTTGCGAACATAAAATGAAAGTTTTTCGAACACAAGACCTCTTGGTTCAGATTAGCAATGTCTTGATGGCTTTATAATATGACTACCCGGCAAACGTTTGTTTTGCCATGCATATTATTTCTAGGAAACATTTTTTTAGTTCAATAAAAATAAATATCTACAATAATAAAAAATAGGGGTTGATCGTAGAGGGGTGACAACTAAGGGTTGTTTGTGTTTTTGTATGCTGTATCATAAAAAAATAAAAACAAAAAAATTGGGGTGGACGGACATCCCTTATCATTTAGGGGTTTGAAAGATATTAGCCGATTCTCAGACTTACTGAATATGCCTAAAATTTCATATTAATCGGTTGAACCGTTTCGGAGGAGTATGGGAACGAACATTGTGACACGAGAATTGTATATAATAGATAAAAAAGGTGGCATTCATTCCAAATGTTGATTTAAATTTTGTTTAATTTTAGATATCAGATGAATACGGAGGTCCCAAATGGTCGGTTTCCGCTTTCTGTGCTCTGTGCCTCGTGGTCCTGATACCACTGAATCAAATAACAAAACTGAAGTACCTCGTTCCTTTCTCAGCGGTCGCCAATTTTGTTTGGCTTGGTTCCATTTGTATATCTATTTACTACTGTCTCAGAGACCCTCCACCAATATCATCAAGGAATATGTCTACTTCAATAGCTGGGCTGCCAAACTTTATAAGGTATTATTATAGTTTTACATGATAAAATAATGACTTTTTCTCAGAATTTTATATTCAATGAAATTTTATGCCGATAGCAGTTATAATAAAATTATATTCGTGGAACTTTTTCCTTTTAAATGGTAATTAATATAATTATTAAATGAAATTATCAGCAGATAATTTCTCGTAAATCTTAATTAAATGAAATATTAATCAATATGGAAAATTAATTAAAACGTAGTTCTTAGCTTTCTCGTCAGCGCATTAAAATACACGTGACAAGTCACTATTTTTAAATTTATTTTTCTTTTTAATTTTGTTTGACACAGATTTCATTTGTTTTTTCAGTACATCCTTATTCGCTATGGAAGGAATAGGCGTGGTTATGCCAATAGAGAATGAAATGCTGAAACCACAGCACTTCCTTGGCTGCCCTGGTGTCTTGAACATTGCCATGAGCGCTGTAGTGGCATTGTATGGGTTTGTGGGCTTTTGTGGCTACCTCAGTTTTGGTGAAACTGTAAGAGGAAGCCTCACACTCAACCTACCGCAGGATGAAATGTAAGTCATCTTTATATATCGAGTTAACGAATCAAAGTTCTAGGTTCACTTTACCTAAAGAAGGGATTAAGATCAAATAAGGCCTTAACAAAACTTTTACGCTGCGTCGATTGTCGCAGCGTAAAAGATCGTCGATAATATTCCAGTGACACCCTAAATGGGTTTTAGATAAATAAATAAATCAGTGGTGCTACCGCCTCTTTAGGTCTTGGCCTCAGATTTCTGAATCTGTTTCATGATCATTTTTAAATCTAATAGGCAAGTAGGTGATCAGCCTCCAGTGCCTGACACACGCCGTCGAATTTTTGGGTCTAAGACATGTCGGTTTCCTCACGATGTTTTCATTCACCGTTCGAGCAAATGTTAAATGCGACCATAGACAGAAAGTCTATTGGTGCACTGCCGGGTATCGAACCTACGACCTCAGGGATGAGAGTCACACGCTGAAGCCACTTGGCCAACACTGCTCAATGCTAAATGGGTTTTAGCCTCAGATTTTCTCCGTTTCTATTATTATTTTTTATAGACAAGTTGGTGATCAGACTTTTGACATATGTCTTCCATGTTTGAATTTGACATATGCCGGTTTCCTTACGATTTTTGCCCTTGCCATAGAAGCAAATGCTAATTGCGAAAATAGAAGGAAAATTCCATCGGTGATTCAGGGATGAGAGGGTCTCACGCTTTAGCCGCTATGCCAATACTACTTGCCAGTTTTGTAGTAGGCCCTCATAACTTAAGTTGTTGAACTCATTTTCTTAGTCTTTCCACATAATAAAAATAATTTCAAATAATTTATTATTATGATTGTGTTTAAAGTGCATTTTAAAATCGTTTTGACGTGATTAGAAACGCTTCGTATGTAAGTATTTAAGTAGTTTTAAAACGTACTCACTCCGCTGGTGCAGCGACCGAAAGTGAGCCTAGCCGGAAACTAAAGAACGCTAGCGATTTCTGGGCCCGCCTACGCTTTTGACCACAAGGATCTTCTCCGTGACCAGTCCAAGGGAGTTTTATTACATTGTTTATTATGTATTATATTTTTTTTGCAGCCTTGCTCAGACCGCTAAAATTCTGGTGGCGTGCGTGATGATCCTCTCCTACGCTCTCATATTTTACGTGCCAGTTGACGTCGCTTGGAGGCGGATATGTGATAGGATACCCGTCAGTAAACATAGATGGGCTCTGGCAGCTCTCAGGCTATTTGGAACTTTTTTAACAGGTAAGTTTATATGACTGCTGACAGATTTACATGAAAATTGCGTTCTGCGTCTTTAACCTTGCGTCGTCACGCCTTCGTGAAATATTACTTTAGTATAATTAATTTACCTTATATTTATCAAACTCATATTACATTACATATGTGCGAAGATCCTCTGCTTCCCCTTCGGATTACTAAGTAGAGTGATAGATTTTAGAAAAATTATGCTGTCCCATTTTGTATTTAAATGGTATCTAAACATTTTTTTAACCAGATATCGATCAGAGGATTTTATTTTTAATAGCTTCTAGATCGTATTGTCTTTGATTAACATAACCTTTACACATTTAAAGAAAAAACTTTTTAACCGGATTAAAGTTATGTACTTCTAGATCAGTAGACAGCGCTGACACTCTTCTGGTGTCGCAATCTTGGTTGGTCAGCAATTTAGATCAGACTAGATGTTTTCGGTACAAAAACTCAATATTGGCAGCTTTTAATACACACAACAAACCGAGTATGAGTCTAAGTGCGGAAACTGAGTCCACCAACCATAGAACCCCACAGTTTTACTACGGTGAAATGTATATTTTAAAATATATGACAATTAGAGTGAAAATAAACTTACAAAAAAGATAAATTAAGCACAAATTAGTTTAGATAATTAGCACTATTAATTGACTTAAAATTTTCCTTATGCGGCAATATTGATGCAAATTCACCGCCCGACTCCGAATTAATTAAGGTCAAAGGACAAAGGATATTATTGTAGTTTGCAAGTTTTATTATTTAGTTTGTTTTGTATATAGGGGGAATACATCATTAAAACATTTACTAATTGGCGTTAAAAACTGTTAACTATAATGAACCAATCAAGTGTGGCTGTTAGTTGAGCTTAAGCAAGCTTTTTCAGTTCACAGTTTTAAGTAAGCATACCTAAAAAGTTTCCTTTTAACTATTATAATTGCCATCAGACTTTACTCGTCAAGTTGATGAAGTACTTAAAGCTCTTCCTTGTGGTTAATTAATAATAAATATCTAAGTACATGACACATCTAAACTGGGAGAGATTTTATGTGATTGAATGATGATTAGATAGGTTATGATATACATTAAATATCCTAGTCATTTTCGTGAGGAGGCCTGCCAAACAAACCTTGTCCTCAAACATTACAAATACAATTTAGAGATTTTGTGGTGGCAACACTTTTGTATTTTAAAATAGCCTAGAATACCGAAAAGCATTTTGTGCCGGGAATAACGTTATGTCGAGATAAAAGGTGCTCTTCGTTGCTTCGTAGCTCGCATGACAGCGCCGCAAGCCAATACTTAGCCAAGTCAAATTGTGAAAATATCCCCTAAGTTAATTTAAAAATCCGTAATTGAAACACACACACACAAAGAACAGTAAGAGAGCGAACATTCCAAAAAAAAAATTCCGCTATTAAAAAATCCATATATAGAGATAAAAGTGCGCTTCGCAGCTCGCGTGGCGGCACCACAACCAATACACACACAACTCAGCCATGTTAAAAATAACGTGCCCTAACATTGCGAAGAAAGTATATTTTACTATCGGATAAACGTACTCCATACAATAATATGAGAAAAAGGAGATACACAAATTTAAAAAAATCAAGACATGATTGATTTTTCTTTTCCCAACGTAATTGTGTACCTAATAAAAACACAATTGTAACATTAAACCGGGTCGATTTGATTTTTGAAGTTATACTTCTTTAGGCGCGTTATGAAAAATTGATGAGAGTGAAATTTTACGATGCGCGCGCACCTGAGACACAAAGTTGTCAGTGTGATTATAGCGTGCGCGAGCGAGATGGGAATAAGACAATCTACAAGTAAAAAGAAATAGAATATACGTGAAGTTAGCAGCTATGCCAAGAATTTTGAATGAACATAATGACATTTACCTTTTAAACAAATAAAGGAGTTTTAATTATTTTTTCAAAGAAATTTAGCAATGCTTTTTCACAAAGACCTATTGTTACTTATTTAAAAGGTTATGAAACATACGTAGTTATTAAATTGAATAAATAATATAATAAAATAATAAATAATAATAATAATTATTATTAATATTAATTTATAATTGTATATTATATACTAAATATTAAATATTATTAAATTATTACCGTTAAATATTTGTTATTAATTATTTAATATTTAAAAAAAATAAAGAAAGCCAAAGAAGTATTACTTCTTACGCGCGTACATAAGTACACGCACCCTTTTTTTTACAACGCGGACTTTAGTCACACATTTGAAGGGATATCGGGGTTAAAACGGTCGCAACATCGACTGCTCGCTCTCCTGAATCACATTTGGCCAAACACCAACCACCTAAGTACGACGACCCTTGGACTATCACCAACTAAATGACCTACGATCTCTGACTAGCAACCGTTACCAACCAACCCAGTCTTGACACATACCTAAACCTTTCCCCTAAATCATTCTAGATATTGTTGAAAACCGCAGTAAATTCCTTACAGAGTTTTTGAGTTTAACGCAAACAGATAGATCGACGCGGTGCAGGACTTGTTTGTATATAAAAATTAGATACATGATGCCTATCGCCGACTTTCAATTCAATCATTTATCATCATATAATATAAAAGTTCTCATCCATTAGCCAGCGTTTATAAGAAACGTAATCACTCAACCGTATTTTCTTCGACACCGTTGTCTTAGATTAAACTTACGTGTACATAATTACTTATATGTATTAGTTTTTAAAAATTAAAACCATTAAACTTTTTCATACATGACAACTAAATCAATGCAATACAAACAAATGCAACGATAAACATTTACCAAATTAAGAGTCTGCTTCACAATGTATGGATAAAGTACCAAATAGCTTATGCAATACATAAATTATTTGGAAGATAAATTGTGCTACTTGACACTTCATCGGACTCGTAACTTATGATTGACTTTATTTGACGAATAGCGCTATCTGACAGTCGTGAAACGCAACAATAGTGTTTTTCTACCAATAAGTAATAAATAGCTAATTTGGAACTTATGTACAACTTATCCGTACATTGTGAAACAGACCCTAATACTTATACAATATCATGTTTTATAAGGATGATGTTGTTTTTTCAGTTGGCCTGGCCTGTGCAATACCAAGACTGGAGCTTTTCATGGAGTTAGTAGGTGCCATCTGTCTGTCCTGTCTTGGCCTGTCGCTTCCTGCCATAACTGAAACCGTCTGGCGATGGGGCAAGGACCTCGGCCCTTACAAAATAGTGCTGATAAAAAATGCCATAATAGTTGTTATATCTCTGATAGCTATGGTCTCTGGTGTGACTTTCTCTATTAAAACTATGATAGACAGCTTGTGATATTAAGACTTATTTATTGTTAGGTGTAAATATTAAAGTATTAATTAATGTAATGTATTTTTCATTTATTTATGTCGTGGCAAGTAGGTTAAGCGTCCGGCTTTTGGGTTTAATCGTAAGATTCAGTCGCGAATTAAAGCTAAGTATGACACCTTGTGTATAACACTAATACGTTTTAGTCATACGGAAGCCATACTTACCTGGAATCTCGATTCGGGATCTTACCCTTATACATGCAATTATCCTTCACCGTACGATTAAGTATTTGTATTTATTAATAATGGCATAACGAAAATGGATTATTAAAAAAATAAATAAGAAAACGACGGGTTGCACTCCGGGAGTGCCGGCAGAAGTGAAAACTTGAATATGTTGTGCATTTTTGATATTTTGGAATGGTTAGAGAATAATTTAATTATCAGTATAAAAGTACTATCATTTATGTGATAGAATACAATATAAATTATTTATTGCGCTATCGTACACAAACATGACAATTTATATCACATTAAATACGCTGCGCCAGCTGTCTACTCTACATCCGTCTTACGAATTTTCGATCAGGTCACGTATCCTGACGCGATTTTATTTTTTTTTACCCATTCCCAAAAAGTGAACAACGCCGCTAAAGAAGTTTTCACTTCAAAAATGAGATTTACATTCGTCACTAATCTTACTACATGACAGGAAACGTAACACAAACGTAAAAGTTAATGGTTTTTCATATAAATACAACGTCATTGCTATCTTAACCCAGAAACTGCATAAAGACATTTCCTGTAAAGCTAAAATTATTTTCATTTCTCGTTAAAATGTCAAATTATTTTGATTTCAATGAATAGAGCATCGGAATGTTACGCTAATTTGAGCTTCTAAAGGATCAAGTGGATTATTACGGTTATGATTATAACCGCAGCAACGTTCTCGAAAACTGTAAACAGATTTATGCCTACAATAATAACATTTCCGTTTGTTATTATTACCGTTTCTAGGAATATCTTGAATATAATAGATATATCTGTGATGTACCGTAGCCTGTTTTACTCCTATTTTTTTTTAATAGGCAATAAGAAGATCTGTTCTGCCTGGCACTGATCCAAGAATAACAAATCTAAATTATGATAGCAAATGTTAAAAACATGTATGTGACAGGAAATTGTTTTTAAATTTACAAGATGACCTCTTGTTAATTAAACGTTGTCATTTTTAACAACATATGTTTTCGTGATTGTGGCTTAAAAACATATTATCTTAAATTGTAGTGGCGGACGGAAACATCGTTAATAGCTAGCCTTGATTTATGAGATTCATTCCGAAACATACATTTTTCTATGACCACTTAAAGTCATTATGTTTCGATGTTGTGGTATGTTTTTGAAGTCAACATATGCATAGATAACTTCATAGGTATTTGTATCTGTGTGCCTCAACACAGATACAAATACCTATGAAGTTTTGCAAAACCATAATCAGCTACAACCACACAAGTCACGCTTATCGTTTTTATACCTTAATGCTAGGAGTATCCGAGCAAAAGGCAAATTTAATGAACTCAAATGCATTTTAAAAACAATTTCTAAAACTGTTCATATCGTACTCATTACAGAAACATGGATCACTAATGAAACTCAGGCCCAAGAGATGAGTCTACCAAACTATACTCATTATTTCAATTATAGATCGGATTTTAGAGGTGGTGGAGTCTCAACTTATGTCCATAACAGTATTAGACATAGTTTGTCGGAGTCAACATATAAAGATGGCAACAACTACCTATGGGTCAAATTAGACAGATATGCCACCGAAATTGGACTTGTGTATAATCCTGGAGATACAAACTTCTCAAAGTTTTTGGAAGAACTTCGCTTGCAACTAAGAGAAAGAAAGAGGGCTGTAGTCTTTGGGGATTTTAATATAGATCTAGTGAAAAAGAATGAAAAACAAACTAAGCAGTATATGGATGTAATGGACGAGGCTGGATATAACATCATAAATAAAATTAGGAAAAAATATTGTACACGTGACTCGAAAACACGTAAATCAATAATCGACCACGTGTGCTCAAATTTAAGAAGTGACCGTTTTCATATGGCATTTATTGAGACAGGAATGTCCGACCATAGGCAACTTTATATCGAGTTAAAAAAATCCAAGGCCCCGCAGTTAATATACTCTGAATATGAAGCCATTGACTATGCTAAATTTAACAAACTATTCACGACCTACAATTTAGATGTAGCAACACTTGATTATTCTTTACTAGAAGATACGATTAAGGACTGTGTAAGGAAATGCAAACAAGTAAAGAAAAAGATACTTAATCCACCTCAGAAAGATTGGATAAGTGGAGAAGTCATTAGTGCAATTCACTTTAGAAACCAATTATGGGCTGAACTGAAAAAAGATCCTACAAATATAGTTGTTCAAGCACAATATACTACTACAAGAGATACGGTCAAAAGGAAAATAAGGGAAACTAAAGATAATTACTTCTCCAACGAATTTATTAAACACGCTAAAAACCCTAAAAAAATGTGGAGTCTAATAAATAAATTGGCTAGTAACAAGCTAAATAAAGATTGCACACCTTCCAAACTTATTATAGACACTAAAGAGTTAACTCAAACAACCGATATTTGTGCTGCTTTTAATACATACTTTTCTACCATAGGGCTAAAACTAGCCAATGAAATACCAACACAATTTCACATTAATTTTACACTAGCACTTCCTCAAAGTCTTAACTCTGAACTATCTAACTTTAATCCATGCACAACACTTGAAATCACTAATATAATAAAAACACTAAACACGAATTGTAGTAGTGGAATAGATGGGATCAATACTAAAACAATAAAATGCGTAGTTGATCATATTTCTGAATATCTCTCGATCTGCTTTAATAAGCTGCTGCATAATGGTGAATTTCCGGATTATCTTAAAAAGGCCAGAGTTGCTCCTATCCATAAATCTGGCCCCAAAACCGAACCCGGCAATTACAGACCAATATCTATTCTACCTACAATATCAAAAATATTAGAAAAGATTATTTACTCACGACTTGACACTTACTTGCAAACTAACAATTTCATTTTTAAACGCCAATATATCAAAAAGCAGCACTTTATCAGCCACAGCCGATCTCGTTAGCGACATAAAACAAAATATTGACTCTAAGAAAATGGTGCTGGGTGTCTTTATTGATCTGAAAAAGCTTTGACACCGTAAGCCACAACTTATTGCTTAAAAAATTAGAATGCATAGGAATAAAAGATCGTGCACTAAAATTATTCAAGTCATATCTATCAAACAGAACCCAGATAGTAAAAATAGGTAATGCTCAAAGTTCAGAAATACCAATAACATGCGGCGTCCCACAAGGATCTATATTAGGTCCATTGTTATTTTTAATATATATTAACAACATTCACGAACTCGGTTTACACGGCCGAATCACTCTCTACGCTGATGACACCTGCTTATTTTACTTTGGTTCAAATATCCAGACTATGGTTGCTCAAGCTCAATCAGACCTAAATGTTCTATCTTCTTGGTTTCAACAAAATCTACTAACAATTAATATTTCAAAAACATCTTATGTAATATTCAAGGCAACAAATAAACTCATTCCTATCTTTCAACCGCTTAAAGTTCAAGACGTTGAAATCAATAACAAAAAATGGGAGAAATATCTGGGTCTTAGAATGGATACAAATTTAAAATGGAACTTTCATATATCACACATAATTACCAAACTAAAATCACTTATAGGCAGATTTTGGTCAATATCTAAATGCATTCCGCAATCTGTACGTCATTTGATCTATAATTGTTTAGTCAAGCCACATTTCATATACCTAATTGAAATATGGGGTACAGCATGCAAAAACAAAATTTCTACAATACAAACACTACAAAATAAATTAATAAAAGCACTATTCAGATACAATTTTTTAACACCTACTAATAAAATCTACCAAGAAACTAAAATTATGATGATTAAACAACTATATGTTTATAGCACCTGTATCCTTATTAAAAAAAATTTAAATAACTCTCTACATAGTAACTTATCATTTAATAAAATCAAATACACCACTACACGCAATACTCGTCGAGCGAGTTTGCTTATCTTGCCAAAGCCGCGCACAAATTATTTAAAGAGATCTATTAGGTATGAGGGTGTGCAATTGTTTAATCGGTTGCCGTCTAAGCTTCGTAACATTAGCGTGATTGATCAGTTCAAAAGGGCATTAAAGACACACATCAGAATGGGCCCATTAGACTAGAATTGGGCTAGCTGATGGCGACGTGTATCTCGTTCGTATATATACTTAATATTAAATTTCTCATGTAAATAAAAAAAAAAATTTTTGTAATGAGAAATAAAGTTCTTTAAACATTAAACATTAGATAGGGATTAGACTGTTACACACATTAGCTTACATAAAATTAAGACGGCAGAAGCTTTGGATGAGATTCGAGACGGGAACTTATGATACGTACGTTGACGACGTTTGACATACTGTCGTAAGCGTCATTTATAAATCTTACTAAGGATAAAGATGTTAGGTTGACATAAAAAATAAAGTCCGCTGTGTCTATATGAACGCGATGAATCCAAAAACTACTAAACAGATTTTATACGGTTTTTTAGTGTTTTTTTGTATCCATCTGCAATCAGCCTCTTGGCTTTTATCAGATTTTATAAGACATGTTGGCAATTAGGGAACGCAAATCCAATAATTTTTTATTCCCTCCGTAATTCGTAAACTGTCAGACTGCAAGTTTCGCCCTTTTCAGCCGATACTCACTGGCCGTCGTTTCCAAGAGGTCCGAAGCTAGGGGGTTGACGTGTTGCTGAAGTCTCATTTTGTATGGCACGGTTGATCTTTTAATGTCTTACTCGACAGTGGCAATATCCAAATATTTATGGACTTCAGCATTTCGTGTTAATCACGGCGCACCGCTCACATATCGCTGTGTTTTGTTTTGTAGCCGCTGCAGGATTTCGATCCCATAGAACCATATTGGTTTTATTACAGTTTTGTAGATGAGAAGTTTATTTTCCAAACTGAGTGCGGCTTTTCTACCTAATAGCCAGTTCATGCTATGAAGCCTACCAATATTATGCTCCATCTTGGCTTTTATTTGGTCTTGCCAAGTCAAGCGTTTGTCCAGATGCATGCCCAAACATTTGGCTGTAGTCCGTTTTGGCAAAACAGCTTCCTCCAGAGTCACTGGTGAGCACTCTTCTTTTCTTAGTGTGAACGTGACATGAACTGGTTTCGCTGGGAATTAATAGTGTGATACCCTAAAACAACAAAACGCAAATTTCATTCGTTTTATGGGCATTGACTGAAATTTAATAAATATGAAAGGTCGTAAAAAATCATGCCAAAATACATGAAGTCCACGTGAAGCTCCTGGCGGGATCTAGTAGTATTTAGAAAACAAGAGATAGTTGAAACACATGCACAAAGCTCTTATAAATTACATATTATTATGTTATTATTATTACCTATTGAAATGTACGTTAATAATAAATTGCACGTTTTGTAATTGAATACCTACATTGTTATACAAGTTCGAACATTGCAGCCTCGAGAGACTTTAAAATCGCATTCTTATGTCACTAACGATTTATGTCAAGAAAACATAAATAGTATTATATTATAACAGATAACGTTGAATTCAGCGTAATGCAATATTTTCCTAGTAATAGAAATGTTAGTTTTTTTTCAAATATTCGGAATTCCTTACGAAAGAAGATACTGTATCTATTAACGGGAGAAAGGCTTTATTACAATAATATTTTAATATTATATATGATCTGTAGTTACATTTTATATTGACGAGTTCCTACTCTTTTCTTCATCCGCTAGGGCCTCATACATTAATAGGTCACGCCTGTTGCAAAGTATTTTTGTTCCTATTTTGACATTATTTTACGGCACTTCTTTTGCGTAGTAAATTAGTCAGGGCTTACTAAATTTTTATAACTTTTTTATTTATTTACTTGATACATTTAATACTCTATTAATATTATGTGTTACAGCATCGTTAATCGCAAGTGTATTTTGGCCCTTAACAAAAACAATTAATTAACGGTGATTGGATTAAATATCATCCCTAATGCAGAACAGTGTTGAAATTCAATTCAATTTCATGATTGTTGTTATAACAATCATGAAATTGATAATGCTATAGCATTATACAAATAAATTACGCACAAATTGCAGTTGTGACCAGATACAATATAATTTAGAAAGACAAAGATATTTAGAATCATTCTGACTTTCTATGTACGACTTACGCAGGTAACATTTGCCTACCTAAGTCGAAGGTATAACATGTGCTTCAGACCCAAAATTCTAATGAATATTTAATTGATATTCTTTAAAAACAATGTCAAATAATCAATATGTGGAGCAGGGAAGGTGCTGCTCTTCAGCGAGTATCCTAAACCAGTATATCCACTGACTGGCTCGTAGGACCAAATGGCTGAAGTAGTTATAATAGACTTTGCGGTTGGAATAACTTTCTTAGAGCGTTTCCAGGTATGACGTCATCGCAAGCATATGAGTAGATCGTATAGATTGTAGGTCACGCTACTAAACAAAATTATTATAAACCACGACCACTGTAAGGCGGAGGTGTTCCAAGTACTTCTGCTTATAACTGCAAAGGCCACCATACTTTGATCATTCAACTATCCTCCTCTGCCTCGGCACCAGTAACACCAAAACGTTACTAGGAATAAAAACAATTAAAGCCAGAAATATTATATTTTTTATTTTGGCCTATAATCATATACAAACAAATCAATATAGGAAATAAAGCTTACATTTACAAAGATGACTAAATTCTATTGGGAGAGTCAATTAAATTATTTATGTATGTAAATAAATAATTTAAATATATTTTTAAATCTAGAACTAAAATCTAGTAACTGAATACTTAGACAACTACTACTGTAAACTTATCTATCTATAAAAAACCTACTAACGATCCCTAATAACACTAAAGAGGAAACGAATAAAAGAACTTTAGGCAAACGTACACAAATACGTCTATCTAAGAATTGTTTTTTATTATAATAATAATTGCGTTTATAATCCAGTATTCTCAGTGATCCAGTCTCTCAGTAGAGGCGAGGCAATATTAGCGAACGCTGATGGTGAAAGCGCCTGTCCACAGCCTCGGCCAAAGGACACGATGCCAACAGCCATGCCATCTTGAACAGCAGCACCACCTGAATCACCCTAGAAACACGGGAAATTTTATTATTATTAATTAAATCTGCCGTGTCTGTTTTAACATTTTGGATGATTTATGTGGATGTTAGATAGAGATTCAGTCTGAGTGTTCCGAATAAAAAAAAATAGATGTTGGAGATACAGCGCGCTCACACTAACTTAGCTGGCCGGTGGTGGTACCGTGATCAGCGTGTATACGGCTTTTTATGATTTATTTGCTGATTCACCTTGGCAATAATTTGATTTCATAGAGAGAGGCATGCATGCGATAGGGTAATAACTAATGTGTCTTTGAAAGTGCACCTATTAAGTAGAACTGTGGCTGAATTCACGAATGATAAAATAGAAATAATTAATAAATGGTCTAGCGCAGAGGTTAATCCGTTTGTTAGACACATTTCTGTTCTTATTTCAAAATTTGTAAGTGATTAACGTATAATTACACCCAAACATAAATACTTTATTAATACCTGACAAGTACTTTCCCCTCCCAAGAAAAAGTTTCCGGCACAGAACATATTCGTAGTGAGTACAGTGGGGTAGACGAGAAAACATTGATAATAGTTCACTACAGGCAATTTCACGGACATAAGACGATCTGGGATGGATGATGCACCTTGCTGTAACAAATACATTCAATTAAATAATCAAAACATAGAGACAAAAGGTATGTGAGCGTCTTTTATTACTTTTTTTATTTTTTTTTAAATTACTGCAAACCACAGTAACTTAAAAATGTAGTATTTTATGATTATCTGTTTTTTTTATGTAACAGTAGGCGAACGGGCTGTAGGCTCACCTGGTTTTAAATGACACTGCCTATACTGCCTTCTGGCAATGTGAGTGGGCGGCAGTGTGTTGCCGGCCTTTTAAGAATTAGGTCGAATTGGTTCGGAAATACTTCAGTGGGAAGCTGGTTCCATATGGTGGTGGTGTTCGGCAAATACTGCCGTAAGAAACGACGGACAACGAGGTGATACGGATGGTATTTTGTATTCTGCCTTGACGTCCGCATGTATTAGTGCAAACAACTCCTCTGATTACTCTCCATGGTAAATGCGGTAGAAGATGCAGAGTGACCCCACATCTCTACGCAACGCTAAGGGATCAAACCGCATGGGAAGTGACTGGTCGTTGACGATTTGAATCGCTTCGTTGAATACGGTCAAGTGGAAGGAGCTGGTACTGGGGAGCTGCCGCCCAGAGGTGAGAACAGTACTCCATGTGGGGCTGAATTTGCGCTTTATAAAAATGCAAACGGTGGCCCGGAGTGAAGAACCGTCTCGCCTTGCTGACACATCAAGCTTCTTAGAGGCTAACTTAGCCGTTCCTTCCAAATGACCGCGAAATTGAACGTCATTCGATAAGTGAACGCCCAGTATTCTGATGCTAACTGAGGCTTTAGAGAGTGTTATCGAAGAGAGGAGTAGCGAAATAATATGTTTTTTTACGGAAAACGTGCAAACTTGTATCTTCTTGGGGTTAAACTGGACTGGATTTAGTCCAGTCCGAGACTCCACTTCATTGTTTATTTTATGATTGTATCTTAACTACTTGTCCCTTTATTTACATGAAGTTCAATTTTTTACCTAAGAAAGCTGTTCCGTTTTATCGATACTTTAATAATTGAAAAAAAATACATACCCTTGTCCTTCCCCAACCACTGACAACTATTTCCGAATTTCCACGCACCGCCCTATTTCTGGGAGGTAGAGCTACAGGCTGCATTGTTTCGCTAAATTCAATAGGTTTTGTAGTTTTCATAAATGCTACATCTTTGTCAAAAGGTGGATCGTCATATTCTGGGAAAGGAGTGACTTCTGCTATTTCAATGATGGTTCCGTTCTTCCGAAACGAACTTCCGGCTCGTAGGACTACTGTTTTTGGATCCACGCTGAGAAGGAAAATGTATATAAAGAACATAATTTACCTTAATTAAAAAAACTATTTACTGCATAGTTTTAATATTAAAATTGTCAGTTAAAGATCTAACCCTGAAACTTAAATTAGATGCGTATATTTAAATGATTAATTAAGCAATGAAAAATTTAATATAAATTAAATACAAATACACATTTTGGTCACTGATTTGTATGGCGGTATGCGGAAGTGTTTGACACTTTCACATACGTCAGTGATAGGACTATGCAAATGTAGACTATTTTTATCCTAGTAGCCATCCGAAGTCACTGGTACAAATTTATGCTATCATGAACTGTCACTTACTTTTGTGCACAGTGTGCGGCTGTCATAATATAATTTTCGCTGACTATGAAACCTCCACAAAAGTAGGAGTTATTCACAATAAACGAAACTTGGTAAGGATAATCCTTTATGTCAGCTTCCTGTCCGTTCACAATTCTATCATCAGTCACACTGGGGACGGAAGCTACATCCTTGCCATTCACAGGAACCTTTTCCGATAATATTATATCGGAAACTAGAATATTTATCCCTAACACTGAAAAAGGCATTACAAAGCTATATATTACTTGTAACCGGAAAAAGATAAATATGTTATTTGTGATTCACTAATAACAGTAATTGTGGACCGATAAAATAACATCATAATATATATATAAGTAGTATTTGAGAACGCTATGTCGCTTGCCCCGGGGCACAAAGTCGTAAAAGCAAAATCTATTTTTCTCAGGAAAAATAAGGTAATGCTTATATTACTAGGATACTAAGTACGTTACATATATATATTATATATAATATATATCAAATTACAGCTATTTTTTTCCTATTCGACGATTTAAACATTGTTGTTATGTATTTAGTGTAAATAGTTTAAAAAATCACTAACAGTAAGTCATCTAATTAGAATTAAGAGCAAAAGCGTTTACGATTCTTTCACTGTTTAAACGTAATTACGGACATAAGATTGTCGAAAGTTTAGATCGTAATAATCTATTACCAATCTTTTCGCGGACATATTACTATTTTGGTGAAACAGGGATATAATATTACCACTCTTAATTTGTTTTTAAAGTGTCGCATTAACTTTTTATGATTATTTGGTAGAATTACAATCTAAACTATCTAACTTTATGGTTGTTGCGATGTATTTCAAGGGAGGTAAAACGAGGTAAACGAGTATTACTAACATTGTGCATATGTTTAGCAAAAATTCTGAAAAAAATACATTTAAAAATACGTTCATCACCCAAGGAAATCAAAAATGAGAAAACATTAAATCTTTCCGACTTTGTACTCGGGACAAGCGATATAGCCATTAATAGAACGCACATACATAATACTCACACGATAAATCTTTAAAGTGTTTAATTTATTATTTTTATGTATTATTTTTTGTTTTGTTTTGGAGAATAACAAACATAAAAATTTAAAGTTTTAATATAAACAATTAAATATTATCTAATTAATTATTTCTAATAAAAATAATGTGAATAATTTATAAAACCTATATTTTATTTTGTAACTAGTATGTTGTTCTATTTTTCTTACCTGCTTGAATACAAACCGCCGAAAGCGATACAAAGCACATAGACCACATCGTTAGGAAGTTGGCAAGAAAGTGTAATACTTAACCAAGTGTACGAGAAATGAATTACAATTAGCAACTACCTTTTTATATCGCTGTGTCTCATTTGAATATCGCATTGTATGGCCCCTATAACCTATAGTATGTGATAATAGCACAACTAGACAGTATGTCATTTTACAATTTATGATGCTTTTTTTACCTATTAAATTTAAAATTTAATTTTGCGCGCATTTGTCACGCTAACTTAATTATATTTTATAGAGCATAATAATTTATTGTAGGCAAAAAATAGTTTTAATATAATAGCAATGCCTTAACTTAACTATCTATTTCGTATCAGTACGTCAAATGTGACGTTGATACAAATATCATAGTGACGTAATTAAAATATCTCAAAAGGCCGGAAACGCACTCGCGAGCCCTTTGGCATTGAAAGTGTCCATGGGCGGCGGTATCACTTAACATCAAGTGCGCCTCGTGGCTGTTTTACCGCAATCCCAACTGATGTTAAGTTAGATGCACCTATTGAAGTTCACGCCTGCCAGGAGATGTCTACTTAGCCGCTGCTTGATCTCTTTAGGAAAGATTGAAGTGGGCAAGGAATTCCATTCCTTCGCTGTTTTCTAAAAAATCCAAATCGTGTATTGCGGCCCTTGTAGTTGTCAACGACGAAAGGTTGAAACTCCAGCTACTAGACAAACGTAGTTTGAAAGGTGATGATAGAACCATCCAAGGAACATTCTCCGAGGTACAATCTTTAGAAGACTGAAAGGCAGGCAACTGAAGGCTTCTGTCGAAATAGTTTAGATGTTGAAGAACTATAACAGAGAGATGCTTACAGCTGGGAAACAATTAAGATGGATGGATGTCATAAATTAGGCAACAAATGCTCAAGCAGGCGTTTAATTAGCTAATATTATAATTAATAAATAAAACATATTAAAGTAAATATGTTACTTTTACTGCATATAGTCTTGTTAGAAGAGTAAAAAAGGCTAGATACTTTGATAGTATTTGTGTACCTGTTTTATATTTATGTGTAAGTAATTGATCAAACTACGTGTTTGCCTGAAAGACCTGGGCTGGTTTCCACTTTTCTTTCATATAGAGCAAGCAAGGCGAGGTTTGAATGCACTACCCCGTAGTCCGAGAGACCCGCGTTTTGTTGCGCACTTCATTTATCAGGAGCCATGGCATATCACTAAGGAGAAAAATCATGTTCGTGTACATAATACTTTTAAGAATTTTTAATAATTCAATTTCTACAAATGACACCCCTTTTCTCAAAAATGATGGTTTCATGGTTAAATTAACATCCATTATCACTTAACTATAGTTTACGCGAGCGGAATAATCTAAGTGCTACCTGAATTTCTACTTAGTTTTTATCTAGAATATAATGTTGATAGTGCGTAGTTAAGTTGGATGAATACAAACATTGAAATACCCCTATATTGTATTTCGTATATACAGCTGTCATTTCTACAATTATTTTTTAATGTATTTTAATTCTATTACAGTCAAGTTTATCTAATTTTCAAATTAAGATTATTATTAATTTAGTAATTTGTTTTTTTCTCATACAAATTTCATGACCATTCTTTAAACTTGTAAATCTTAACAATTTTAGTATTTTCCAAACTCGGAGGAAAATGATCATTTACTACTCGACCGATAAGAAAATTTTTAGAATTTATCATTAGAATCCTACATTATCCCAGTTGAGCATAGAATATGTATTTAAAAAAGTTAGGAATCCGAATGGAAACTTAGATAATGTAACCCAAGGTGTGAACAAAATACCAATTTATATCGCAAATGCTGCGTAAATTATCGACAGTAGAATACAATTTAATACTACAGTTTTATAGTATGTTAAAAACACTAACTCACCCTCGCTATCCATACATTTGTCGCAATCTATTGCGCGCTTATGTTAACCTTGGTACGGGATGTATTAATTAACATAAAATAATAAAGTATGCTTGATGAATTTTGTACTTGTACCCGCCTGGACTACATGCCCATATCATACAGTAACCAAGGTCAGGTCTCTAGTAAGCAATAACAATGTTTCTTGAAGGCTTAAAATAAACTACGCACAAGGTGATTCATCTTCACTATTTATACATATACATTAATTGTGGGAAGTTTTCAGCCATTCAGCTATTACCTTAATTAAAATTTATATCTACAGAGCAAGCACATTTACCACCCTGCCTCAACACTTTTAAATGAACCTCCCAAGCGACCTTTTAATACATTCACAATTCATGCGATGCGATTCTTGAAAAGTTTGATTGTGATCATATTTTAGCTAATTATTATTACATAAACCCATAGTAGTCTTTTTACGTTGACTAATGTTTAATTCCATAAACAATTAATTTTATTTAAATTCTTTTATTTGTCAGGTTACTGCAAAATAATAAGAACATTTTTACAGATTACATAACGTTTATCTTGTCTTGGTTAAGTCAAAGTGACTGATCATTGTTTAAAAGCACAGCTTCCATAATCGAAGTAACCATAACAAATATCAACATACTAAAGACCACCACTATGTGGAATCAGCTGCGCACTGGAGTATTTCTGATCAATTCGACTTAGGCTCCTTGAAAAAAGGAGCATACCAAATCTTCAGTCAAGTCAAGTCAAAAATCATGTAGGTAACACGATGTACACTTATAAACGTCAAATTTTTTTTTACATTAAATGTATATTTTATAGTAAAATGTTAAATAATTTCATCTTAATAACTGTTTTCAATTATTAATTTTATGTATAATCTTAAGATTAAGTTATTATACATAAGATTTTAAAATCTTATGTATAATAACGAAAGAAGTATAATATGTAGGTAATGATTAACCTTCACCTCGATTAGCAATACGAACTTAAACATCTCTGAGTTATCAATTTATCAAACAACACGGTTCGTCTTTCATCTCACGAAATATTTTGGCAATAGGCCGCTTTTCTTAATCGTGGCTTTTTCTATACCTATTCATCGGCCCACGCAATTGTTATGAAATTTTCGTTAAGGAGAAAATTTCCTTATCGTTTTTTGCCGTCAATACTTGGAACTTATACTATGCGACATTGAACTACTAAGAACGGTAATGTAACCATGGTTATTAATTACCAACCATGAAAATAATTTACGATCTTTATACTCGATAAAGTCTTTTATCAATTTATTATTAGTAATTAAAAAAACATTTAAATTTGGAGTCAAGACATAGCGATTTAAATGTATCGCCCATAACCTAAAATCGAAAGGTACTGAGTAAGTAGGCATAGAAGTCTGATTACCTGCTTGCCTTAAAACACACAGCTGTATCCAAATTTGACAGAATATACGAGAAAATAATAAACGGCTCAAACGGGTTCAAGTACACAGGGGCTAATTAAAGATTTTAGTTGGCTGGTAGATAGTACCGGTGGGCGGTGACCCCAGAGCTCAACAAATAAGTAGCACAATACAGCGAGGAAATGCTACCAGCATTGAAGGTACACTGCCACTTTTAATAATTATTATTTCGTAGGTTAAGAATATTGTACTTGCTGTATATTTGTGTGTTGGAAATAAATATTTTAATAAAGATGACTAATTCGTTATTGAGTCATTAAAGCGTAACCTTAATTGGTAAATTTAAAAAGGATATATGGGATCGTTAGCATCATACTCATAAACATTCATTACAAGTACTAGTGTGTTGTACCTGGCAGTCCAATAAAGGTATATCCTACCTATACCAATCTTTCATGATATTTTCTTTTGCTACTAATAGTGTACGTTACATTAAATGACAAAAACGAAAAATAAATATTCTCCTGACTAATCACAACAGAGATAGAGAGAAAGAGAACAAAACTTAATGCATACATATTACATAATTAGATATTTTAGACACACAATCGCGGTTTCACTTTCAAGGTCAATCCGTCCCGGATTCGGCATCACTACGGCCACTATAGAACTTACAATAATTATTGTAAGAGTCCGCAAAAGTCTGTGCGGAAAAAGAACCATCGTGGGATTTGAGACTTTTGTGATCCATATATTCAGAGTTGATTTAAAAGTTAAACAAAGAGCGTACATTTAAACCAGAGACAAGGACAAGAAAGCTAAGAGTGAATGAACGATGACTTTAAAATACACCTAGAATTTTTAGTCCTTTTGCAGTGGATCAAAATAGTTGAAAATTATATTTGTATTAAAAAATTATAGTCTGTTAACGACAGTATCAAGCTTATAATATGCAAGTTAGAACTGTAATTGTTTTTTTCACTTATTCTTACTTTGAACATAGTAAGTACTACATAGTCGTATTCTTTATTCACAAGCGTGCAATGAATCGTGCGCCTCGCACAGCCAATGGTGGTCTCATATAGATTCATCAAGAAAATACGAACCCTACCTAGCTAACTTTTCTGAATATATAATTTATGAAACTTTGATGTCTTCTTATCACAATACATACACAAGCACCTCATGGCTATTTTAAAATATTTAATTAGTATTGGGATACGTAATACTATAGCTATACGTAATAAATAGCTGCTACGTACTCCGCGTACGAGTTTAGAGAGTTCGTACTGACGATTCATTTTAGCGTGGCAAGTAAATGAACAAATTGCGCACAGGCCTCTCACGGCCTCTTAGAGAGGGGGTTAAGGAGAAATACGGGCATGTGTTTACTGCTTAGAACGCGGAGCACACAGCGCGACAACGAGAATATGGTAATCGACGTGTGTATAAATATGGCGAAAAGCCGCTGACACGAATTCTTATTTTGCTTAAAAAATCCAGATTTATTTCAAATAATTTTGAAAAAAGAAAGCAAAACCTTTCGTAAAAATATACTTTATTGATTGTATACCACTGTTAAATTTTATTGTCCATGACGATAACAGAATCAATATAATTAATGTTATATGACCAAAAAATATACGTAAGTTTTACCATAGAATTATATTATAATAAAAAAAAACTCGACATAGCT